TAAACATTGGTTTAACCTTTTAAATAAATATTTTTTAGTTAGTCGTGAACATGAGTGTCACAATGTTTAGCGAAAATCTATTCTTTTTCACTTAAAATTAGTCTCAATTTATGAAACTTCTTTATTCCTTCCAGAGCTCTACTTATAAATAGGTTGATCTGTATATGCAAAATTATCTCGAGATTCATCTATAAATCCATCGTTCTATATGCTTAAAATCACAATATACAATAATAGTAACTTATATTTGAATTTCTAACATTTTGGTCGGCCTAAAATTTTGTCAAATTTCTCTGTCACATCTCCAAAAATATCTTCAAGGGTCATCATATATTTTTTATTATTATATTTAAGAATATTAAGGATCTATGATTTTAATGGGCAAAGTCATTCCATAAATCATATCATCATAATCTTTCACATGATATATTAATAAATACATATTGTAACAACCACAATGCCATCATTTTCAACAACTCTATAATTTATTATATCATATTTGTCGTAATTATCCTCATAGTATCTTGATATATTTTTCAATATCATCATAATATATTTTCACGTTTATTTGTAAAGGATTTTGTAGATTATAAGTCGTGAGTCCTAAAAATATTTAAATAAAAAATAAATAAAAGTTGTGATCATAGAAAAATTATGAATAAAAATAATTTTTGATCAACTTATAATATAAAAAAAAATAAAAAATGCTCGAATCAATGCATCTTTTTAAATATTACATTAGTATTTTCATTACCACATTTTGAAAAATACTACTTTAAAAAAATTTGTGCCTATAAACACCTTGTAAGTTTAGTCAAATATGCTTGAGTATCATAATAATCATGGTTTTGAAAATTAATTTTTATTAAATTAATTCCATTTAATCTATTTTACATTATAACCGGTTCTAACCAAAATCAAATTATAAATAAAATGTGAACCAATTTGTCAATTTTAAAAACTTAGGCCGTGGTTGGTTTGCTGTTTTCGGCCCATTTTCTATTTTCCGTTTTTGAAAACGCGGAAAACGCGTTTGGTCCGTCTTTTTAGAAAACGCATTTTCGAAAACGAGTTAAAATTTATAACTGAAAACGCAAAACGAATTTTTATCATTTTCAGCATTTTCAGTTATAAATATCGAAAACGCTTAAAACTCGAAAAACGGGCCATTTTCGGGGAAAATTAAAAATCGTTTTGAAAATGAAAATGCAAATCAACCACTACCTTAGTTATTGTATAGTATTGCATCAAATTGATTCCAAAATTAGAGTACAAGAGTAGTTGTCTCCATTTAGCCGCGAATACGGAAAACCAAAGATTTATTCATTCAAAGCTTGCGGTAATGTTCTCGTCATTATTCCAATAACCCAAAGTCAAACGAGTTTATAATAATCCAAATGCATCTATAAACTAACTATTGAGTCCAATAAAAAGGAAGAAAAGCAGAAGTAACTATGAATCATGAAAATAAGTAGTTTGTATGCAACATAAGGAAAAGTTATATGATTTGGATTTTAATCTAAATTCTAAAAAATAAATGAATGCTCACACAATTTTTTTTGTAAAATCAAATGATTAAAGGACGTTAGTGCAGAATAATTTCACCCATCGATCACCTTTACATCTCAAATTAAAACTCAATTTTAATGTAGTGTTCAATCGAATTCTCCTATTGTATTCAATTTACCTCTCTCGAGTTCTCATTGAGTCTATTCAATTAATTAAATTTCATATCTCTATGCAAATTTAACTTAGCTAAACGATTTCTTTGTCCGAGGAATTCAATTATGACCGCAATAAATGGTATAGGTATCTCTACTTGTTATACTAATATAATGAATTTTACTGCATGGTCTAAATCATAAACTCATATCTCTATTCGTAAAAGGATTCACAAAATTTATCAAATTATTGATCAGATAATTTAATGCAATCAATCCATAGGAAAAATCAACACATGGAAGAATTAAAAACCAAGAATCTTAATAAGAAAATATAAAGGATCTCAAATGAGTTACATTATTCACTATAACAATGGATTTAGCTACGCATAATAAAAGAAGAGCACAAACAAATTGTCTTAGAATATATCACCGGATTTTGAATAAGAGTATGTAGAAGAAAAAATGGATCTTGCACCAAGAGTTCCTCCTTCTTTCAATTTATGCTTCAAACGAAGAAAAGCAGAAGTAATTGTGAATCATGAAAATAAGTAGTTTGTATGCAACATAAGGAAAAGCAATATTTCATTGAGTATCTTGACATTAGAGTTACTAATGATGATCAAATTTTCAATAAACACCAGAAGTTACTCAGATAAAAGAGTCTTATTTCAAGTGTCATAATCCAAGAAAGAATTTAAAGAAGATGACCCGTCTAGAATGTCATGCTAAGTGTATAGTTTTCCAATTTGTTAGCTGCCATACCTCATCACATATTCACAGTAGCCTATTTGTTTTTCATTTATGACATGTTTAACATAGTGAATTAAATGCAGTATTTAACAAACGAAAAATATATAATGGATTGTCAATTGTACTAGTGTATCTAAACACACTCTTCATGTTTTAAACCGTATATAGTATTTAAATGGATTAAAGAAAAAAGGCAAAGCTATTGGGAAATTATTAATTTGCCACGTGGGCTGATATATGTAATTAATTATGTATAAATGTTATTTTAAAGTTAAGCTCAAAATTAAAGCGATTTAATAAAAAATTAAGTAATTGGGCTTAGGGCATCTAAATAGAGTTTGTGTTGGATTATATGTGTAGAGGCCAAATTTCTTTAAAAATGTATTTTATGATGTGCGAAATACATATGGAAACTATATATATGGTTTTGATCCCAATTCATATGTAATTTCTTATTCTTTGTGTTATTTCATCAACATAAAAATTATAGAGAAAGTATATTGAATAGGAAGATCTATAAAACCCATAGTCTAGAACATGTAATTTACATTCAAGAATCAAGAAAAAGAATTCAAGAATCAATAATCAAGCTTAAAGATTCGGAAAGGAAGATTTAAAGAATATAATTCAAGATTCATCATTCGAGATATAAATCAATGGATCAAGGTATATTCCGCATTAATTATTTTTCTTGGTGATTTGATATAGAGATCTTGGTAATTTTGTAAAGTTTAAATTGCATAAATATTCAACAAAAGCATGAGTACTAAACACATCTTAATATGGTAAAGAGATTAGGGGGCCGTTTCGCATAGTTATTGAAAAGTCAAAAGCTATTTTTCATATTAAAAAACCGATTTCAAATATTTTGGATAATTTTTTGAAATTACTTTATAATTAGAAATTTTTTTAGAGCTAAAATAAGAAAGTTTCCTCAAAATGCTCTTGTATAATAAGTAAAAGCAAAAGTAAAAATATTGTCAAATAAGAGCCTATTTGACCCCTTTTTGCCCAAAGAACATTTTGGAATAATATTTGATGGAAAATGTGTAATAAAAAATTTTGAATTTTCATGTAATATTTGTTTATTTAAAAAGATGTGATTGAAAATAAAAGAGAAAAATATATTTTGTAAATAAAGGGGACAAACAAGGGCTACCCAGACTGTGATTGTGATCAAGACGAATGGAGCATGCAATTTGAGTACTACTTTTGACTAAGATTGCCACTTGTCATCACTTGGACGGTTCATAAGCTCTAAGTTGAATTTGTTGAGAAATTTCTAGAAGTGGAAGCGTCTAACTTTGAGGCATTATTCTCCAATTAAGTTGGCTTGGGTTGTCACTATGCATGAGGCAGCTGGTTGAAAAGTCTAGATTTTTCGTTCTCCATTCGTACATCACATTTCCAATTTGAGAGCAGAATCAACTCCTCGTGCGTTTGAATTTGATTTGATATGGTTGATGAGTTAATTTAGTTATTTATATTTGAACTAAGATGGTTTGTTTTTTTATGTTTAAGAAAAAAACAAGCTTAAAAAATAGTTCACAAACCATATAATATAAAAATGGTTTGTTGAATAATTTT